CCCAGCCCCTCACCCCCAACCACCCCCCACTCCCAAACTCAAACAGCATGAATCAGTCTATTCCACAAATCTTGTGTTATTACAAAGCCATAATCACAATGTTTTCTTTTTTATTACCGACTGGGTGACGTCTGTGGCTTCTTGCCTCTTGGCCATTCAAGATTGATTTGTGAGATTTTGGTTGTGCAATGTTCAGTTTTCATCCATCAGAGGCTTAGGGTTAGCAAACAGTTCTGAAAGGCTGATATTTTTGCAAAGCAAGTTTAATTTATTTAAGTAGGTGGTTCCGTTTGTTATTATCAGTGATTACTTGTATCGATCATTATCCAATATGAGAGCTGTCTCATCATATTCTGCCTTTACAAAGGCCTTGATGGTCAGTTCTCATTGACACTGAGCGAGTCTATTCTACTTGCATATGATCATATTTTTTGCGACCTCCAAGCGAGCAGCTCACGAGTAGCTCCCAAACATCGACGCCGGTATTAGCAGCTAACAAGACAAATAGCTTCCCATGTTCATACCAAATAGAATCAGCCACAACATGTGTCCTTGAAGATGTTAATGCATCCCGGACCCCCTGCCACGAAAGGCTAGTTCTTAAAAGCTCCTAAAACCTTCTGGCTCCGTTACTAGCGGATAACCATGACCATGAGGGCCTGTTTGTCAGACGTGAGTGACATCAAGATACATCGTTTTCCGGTTATGTCGCGGCTAACCCCGATTACTGCTACTGCGCATGGACGTCAAAGACAGCAAGGCAGCGAGTCGACTAATCTTGGCGGCCCTGATCAAGTGATGGTTATTGTCTGTAGAAAAGTAAGATTTATTTATTTATTTATTTATTTATTTATTTAAAACAGCCATTGTATTGCATATAATATTGTGCAAATAATCACACCGTTGTGGATATGAGAGATATGCAGACAGTTTAATTTTTCGGGCTCTGGTTGGATTTTTCCCAAACACATCCAACCGCAAACTGTCAGGCGTGCCATTGTAAAATGGCTTGTCTTTTATCTCCTTTACAATGTTCTCTTTCACTTGCTTGTGAAAGAAAGGAATGCATGATTGGGAAGTCTCATTTGTATTTTTTATTAGGCATGTTGCTTGTGGAGGCTCTCAGTCGTACAGGAAAGTTCCATCGTAGAAAGGGTTCTGTCAGTCGTCATCTGTACCTGTTGGTACAGATGACGACTGACAGAACCCTTTCTACGATATTAGGCATGTTGTACATGGAGCAAAGCAGTGTGAATGAATGCTGGTGGCATTTGTAAACAAACACGTATAAAAATGATCTTTTATTGAGTTAGGGGGGAAAAAAACATGGGGTCCATTTTATTTGACAGCATGAGTGTCAAACACAAAGACTGGGGGTGAAGATCTGACCCGCCACATCATTTTACGTGGCAAATCAAGCATGTCATCTTCCATTATGCTTGCTAAAATCTATACCAAAATTTCAAATTGTCAAATGTAATAAATAATAATGGCGAGATGTTGCAAGGGTTTTCTCATTACGTTATTACTACAATAGCTTGAGCAATAGTTGAACAAGCTATTATTCTTGACTTTTTGATTTCAACGAGTTATCAGCAATCTGTTGTGTGCTGTGGATGTAATGATGTGCGGGTATGATAAAACGTAACATAAAATTAACTTAATAGCTCTCAGACGGCAAACGTGACTACAATGTGGGCCATGACAAAAGTGAGTTTAACAGCCCTGTCACTCGTATTTTCAAAAGGTTTGTATTCTTGAAAAGCTTGCTGAACACGGAAAGTGACAATGTATAATGGTCAAGCGTTTTGAGAAACATTTGTAGTCGATAGACTTCAGGAAAATTACTGTTGGAACTGGTGATTATGTGTGTGCGTGCGCCTTTTGAACTGTTTAATGATCGTTTAGCAATTTTAAATGTCAGGAAATGTAGTTTTGTGACATGCATGTGTGCTTGATCAATAAGAACACTTTGAAGCCTTGGATATACAAGGAAATGTGAGCGGGTCAATGGCTTTTGCGTATACGTGCGATCTGCTCATTGAGTGACAACGGCGGACACTCAGACATTTATAAGGTGCACACGCACACCCATGCACTTGAAGGGCACGAGGGTGAAAGTAATGAAAAGTGTCCTTCGCGGTTATTTTGGACATTGGACAAGTCATTCGCAAATAGATGCTTTAAAATATCTTTACAATTATTATTAATGATTTCATAATTGACTATGATTCACTACATTGTGCGTCTTGGGTAAAAGATGTGTGTTTCACTTTTTTTTTTGTTCCAAATCACATGCAGTATTATTTTTGCTTTTCTTCTACAGAATATTCCAAATTGTTGTATGTACTGACTAGGGCTAATTTTTGTCTAATGGCCGTGTTTTATTTTCTGTGTTTTTACAGCATGACAATTGATTGTTAGTCAGCCATCAGGAGCCCTTTGGTTTTCATGTTGATTACATCTTTAAACAAGTACTATAAGTGCAGTGCTTTAAGTAGGGAGGAAAATAAAGTACCGGTCTTCCCCTTATTGGACTGTTGTCTGGTAAATTAGATGAACTGCATATCATGAAGGTAATTAATTATTCCATAAATATGTAATATATAATAGATGATAAATACAGAGGTCAATGTTTAACCATGCCATTAGCGACAGAGATTTAAATGACGGCATGATTAACTTTCTTAGTATCTTAAATCAGCCATTGCATATCATTGTGTTGATGTAGCAACTATGAAATTGTGATAAACCAAAATGTCAAGAAGGTAAGACAAGATTGCCGTCAGACCACCGCGTAAGCTAATTTCAGTGTGTTTTGCTTTTATTTAGCTTATTAGCTGAAGTTACCTTTTACGTTGGCAGCCTGTTACGCTATGAATATTTTTGCAAGTTTCACTGACGGCGCACATACCGAATAAAATGTTACCCTAGGCTTAAAAATGTTTTTTTTCTTTCTTTTTTTTAATGTACCTGAAGGAGTCGTCTGAGTATCACAAGGTGCAAGACAGTAGAACAAGACAGGGTACTATGGGGACATGTGAAATCACATCACCGTAAAAAGTATGCTGGAGGCTAACATTTAGAAGTGCTCCTTACCGCTGCGTACCGGCCCACTTAAAGCACTGTGTAAGTGTAGTTCTTCACAGGCAAGACCTAAATCTGAACCATTCAATGTTGTTTACTGTTTGAACATAATAGGACCCATGTGGGCAGCAAAGCACACCTGTCAGACTCAAGTTTCAATGCTTTTGCTCAACTTGTCTATCATATGTAGATAATAAAAGTTGATTTGTTAATCTGTTGTCTTCTATTCATCTTTGGATGTCAACTCAATTTTCCACATATAAAGCAAAAATCAAAAAGAATCAGCTTCACTGTTCAAACCGATTTGGTGGGGTGGGGGGGGGGGTGAGTATATAAGATTGTGAACCGCATTTTTCTTGTTGTGACTTAGAAAGCCTGACAAGCTGAGAATATTGAACAAGGCTGATGGAGGCGAATCTGTTGCAAATGTTGTGCATGTTCCAGAGTAAAAGGGGAGAGGGAAAAGTGATGGGTGATTTTGTGCTGAGCTTGGCAAATGGTGCTGATGTGTGGGAAGAAGGGACGCGGGGAGCAGAGTGTTCCTTTGTCTTGGTCCCATCCCTCCGCTGTCAAGTCTAATTAAGCCTTGAGAGCGGCAGCCTGAAAGAGAAGCTGAACCACCAGGATCATCGGGCCTAAATGGGCCAGCAAGCGCTGAGTGGATGTGCACAGTGTTCGCAATCCATCCTGCCCTGGTCTTCTCAATGAGGCCCTGCAGCCATCATCATAACCATTACAGACAACCTCACTATCACTGTCAAACCAATCTGCAATCTTTCTGTAAACGTCAGCCTCCACTCTGCTTTTATGTCGCATGTGTCTTTGATTTTTTTGCACTTGTGAACTTACTTTCAGGTCTTAATGGTTATTCAGTATGCACTAGTTTCCCTTTTGTAACCTAAATTTTACCATTAACAATGTACAGAATATTTACTTTATTTAAAACTTTCAATCCACAACCCGTCCTGTATTAACTGTGCTGAAGAAGAAATATTTGTGTTTTTTTTTTCAGTGAAATGAAATCAAATGTCGAGTTAGATGTATCCTTGTCAATGTGACACAGTTGGAAAGACTGAAATTAAACATGGATGTAAAAATCTATCCCCCCCCTAAAAAAAAAAAAACACCCTTTAAAGCTTATTTTTGCGGTTATGGGTCTTCTGAAAAAGGATGTGTTGAATTTGGTCCAATCTATCAATTGATTGCCTAAGTTCTCCCATGTCAGCCGAGGCAAACAGTCCTCGGTGGGGGCCAGCCAAAGCATGGCTCAAAGACCCCTTAGGTATGGAAGTGAACCTTTGCAGCAAAATGGGCCAGTGCAAAAAGGGGTCAGCTGCAGGACCCCAAACACTGAAGTGGAACATGACAGATTTGTGCAATTGTTTGTCGATGCGTGCCTGCTTTAATGTCTTCATTTGATGTTGGTTGTTTTGTTGCAGATGTCGACGAGTGTGCGACCGAATACAATGGTGGCTGTGTCCATGAGTGCATCAACATCCCGGGAAATTACAGGTGCACATGCTATGATGGCTTCCGCTTGGCACATGATGGGCACAATTGTCTAGGTGAGTGTGTGATTTGTGTGTGAGCGTCTGTGTGCCTGTGAGCGTATGAGCGATGCTCTATGCGCGTGTGTTTGTGTGTGTATATGTTTGAATTCTTTCCTCCAAGTTTCCACTAAATTAATTGTCCTACGTAGTCATGTGAGAAAACCTTGTTATATTTGGTTTAGAGCAGTGGTTCTTAACCTGGGTTCGATCGAACCCCAGGGGTTCGGTGAGTCGGTCTCAGGGGTTCGACGGAGCCGCTGCCATGGAGGTTAAGACACACGCGACTCAACATGTTAATTAGTTATGACACGCCCACTTGGCCTTCACTGGCTGCAGATGATTACATGACATTGCTTGTCCAATCAGTGGTGTGGGAAATTTAGTTCGCTTAATAGTCAACGTGTGACTGTCGTGATAGTATGTCGCACAATTAAAAAAAAAAAAAAAAGTATAGTTATCTCTTGAAATTTTATTTACTTTTTTCTGTTTTTAATAAATGTGTTTTTTTTATATCTTGAATCTATTAAAAAATACATACTTATTTTTCACTCATGAAGGGTTCGGTGAATGTGCATATTAACTGGCTGGGTTCAGTACCTCTAAAAGGTTAAGAACCACTGGTTTAGAGGTATGAGTATGTTGCATCCAGTATGTGCAAGTCACATCAAGTCATGACCTTCAAGTTTCATGCAAGTCTGAAGTTACTGTGGCAAAATCAATCATTGAGACTACAAAATCAAAATATGAGTCCCACAATAATGTATTAGGGCTGTAGAACATTTGACTGCACATTAGAGTAACTTCGCTGGTGCAGAGTGCCGACGGTCTGTGTGGGGTGGCGACTGCTGGTGGGAAAGTCCCATGCTTTGTCGTCCGGTGGCTCTTCAGTGGTTAGCGCTTCAGCGTTTACTGACCCGAAACTGATGGATCCTCACGAGTAGTCGTAGATAGGTTTAGAGATGTTCCGTTGATCTGTTGTAATAGATTCCAATTGTTTAGATGCCACGTTAAGTCCTCGTTTGGCTACGATATCATGATCCAAAGCAGCGGGACACACCCCTTGTCACGTAGCGAGGTGGTGGTGGACCCCAAAAAAGCAGGCAGGAGGGAGGAGCAGGTTGTACTTGAAGAATGGTATTAAAACATAGAGAAAACTAAATCCAAAACAAAGTCCAAAGTATCAAACAAAACACATGACTGAAGATAAAACATAACAATGACCAAAACCTGACTGAAACAAACATGACAGCAACAAACAAACATGACAGTAGCACAAAGCAGCAATGACCCGACAATGATTGCTCGGGCTGGGAGTCCTTTTAAAGCCACTAATTACCTAATGACCAACAGGTGTGCAGCTGCAGGGGAGCCCTACAGTGCCACCTGTGGGTCCCAAACCGAATCATGACACCCCTGACATTAATGGTGGCGTTTCAAATTGGTATATTATTCAGTAGCATGAAATCTTACCTGCACATGAGACACTTTTCCCCTCCGATTTTTTAAGTAGACTATATATCAATTTAAAAATGTATCTGGGGCCAGATAATTTGATTAAGCGCAATCACTCAAAATAAAATTGAGTAAATTCAAGACACCATTTTATCAGTGTAGCATACCTGTCATTCCAGAGTTTATGGTGATGGAAGTGAAGTTAAATGTTGCACTTTGTGTTTTTAATTAATCTTAGAGTTGCAAGGCTTGCATAGCATTCAGTTATGTGGTTTGCGTAAATGACACACAAATACACAGACAAAAATGTCCCACTATGTTGAAAATAGTGATTTTTTTTTTAAATCAATAAGCACAATGTAGTTCAAGTTAATGTCGAGTCTTTTGAATACCATCTTAAGACTTTCATAACATTTAGCCAAGCAAGAACGCAAGCCCAAAACATTGGAGCGTCGAGTCAGACTCGAGTCCTGTACCTCTGATATTGATCTTTTGTCAGGAGAGGACTTGAAACCATGTGGACGCAAACCTTCATTGCTTCACATCGCTAATATCACATCACAAATGCTAATACATGCCCTCGGGCTAAATGCGCTCTTATTTGAATACTTGCATGAGATATTTGAAATTTTCTCTTTTCAAAAAGCACATGAAGTCGAGTCTGGTTTCACCTACAGAAAAAAAAAGGCTTCTCTTTTTAATTAGCCTGACAAAAAGAGAGTGAATTTATGAAGGGCTTGACCCTGAGCTTAGAGCTCTGAGTCAGCCACTGGGCCAGTGTACTTTCCCATGGTTTAATATTTCACCAGTGTGCTGTGTGAATGAGCCTCACTGAAAACGTTTTAAAAGTATATTAAATAATGTGGCTTTTTTTTTTTTTTTTTTTTGCTAAACATAGACATCACCCTTGCTTTGCACTAGCCATCTGACTTACATCTTTTTATGAAACTCAAGTGCAACTAGAGAGCTCCATCACCATCATGCTTTTAGCCTTAGCCTCCACTAGTCACTTTGGTGGGGAAATGTACCCAGCGACTAGATACAGTATTGCTCAGATTCAGGCAAAACCATTCCCAATTATTCATGGAGAGCCAGCTTCTATGTGGGCACACAAAGTGGCACGGTCACATGAACCTCGTCAATTATTTATAGTGCAGTGATGCCAGTTAAGGTAGCCTTTAATGAAAAACACCCGCATCTCCTTGGTTTGATCATAAACGAGAATGGCGCCCAATTAACAGTGTTTAACGACATTGAGAAAATGCCTGAATTGTGTCACTCGCATTCACGCATCACACTACGAAATAAAGGACATCTCGCATTGTGTACAAAGCTCACTGGCGCCAGGATCAGAAGTTCAATGGGTTCTTCCTCGGTTTGCTCCACCCCTCTACAACAAAATCTGTTGCGTAGCTCTTCAGTGAAGGTAACCGGTTGTCACTGCGAGAGGTCACCATGGCTTTCTTTTCCACATAGTCTACCCATAGTCTTTCCCCTCTTTGCTTTCCCTCACTCGCTCCCCTCTTGCTGTATCTCGCTTGGATCTGCAGTGCAGGGCTATTTTCCAAGCCATTTAGAAACTACATCCAGTTGTGAATGGATCATTTGGTGTGCCGGGGATCAGCTGTTGACTTGCGTGCAGGTGTTTAATCGCAATAAGTGGTTGTATGACGGTTACATGAAAACAGTTTGATCCATCGGTCCTTTTGATACAGCCCGTAAATCAGGCGCCATCAAATCAAGACAGCTTTTAAGTTTAGCTTCCTCGCAGAGTTGATCCTTCCTATACTGGCCCTGCAGTGTGCATGGGAGATGAGGCTTAACTTTTCAGATTTGATTGACACTCTCAGAGTTATTAATTTACCAATATGCTTAATTTTACTGTGGTTGTAGTTTACATCGGTATGGTGCTGTCGGGCATCATATTGAGAGCTGTTCCCAATGTTTTTTGACTAGTCCATGTGAGAAATTCAGGTCATCAAAACTCAGCTCTTATCATGATGCAGTGCAATTCTAAACCAGATCAAACTATAAACCACAACAATCAACATTTTGAATCAAATGTTAAATTTCAGCACTGTCAGTTAAAAAAATGGACATTGTGATCTTTTCAAAAACTTCCTGTATTGAATGTATGACCACTCGGATGTGCATTTTCGAAAGAGTTTTCCGCATTTGGGTCACGGGTGACCTGGCACTTAACGCAGCTGAACTTTGGACGAACGGCACGGTTCTCACCTTGATTGATTGCTTTCCAATCGCAGGGCAACCATCTTGTGGCAGATCCGTGTATACGTCTGTAGCTTCCAAATCCATCCATTGTCTTGAGACATTAAAGGACTCTAAAGATTTCTACTGAAGCAATAACCCTCAGCAAGAAGAGAGGGAGAGGTACAACTAAGGTTTCACCTCAAAGCCCCAACTTCGTCTTTCAGCTTTAAGCTTCTTTTTGGCCCCAAAGAAAAGGTTAGTCCCTCTTGGCCCTGGAGTGGAGAACCTAAGCAGCTGGTTCCCAGACAAGGTCAGACCCTCAGAGCCCCTAAAGACCAGATGTGCCCGAGGCTGCAGAGCAGGAGACGTTCTCCTGATCCTTAAAAGTTCACGTTGAGTTCAGAATCTTAGATCTTTAAAGTGAGTTTTATTGGATGTTATGTGTAACTGGTAGTCATGCCCATAACTTACAGTTTTAGTCTTCTCAGGCTTTTCCATGTTACTGTCAGCCCAGGGAGAGATTCCCCGTGCATCTCCTTCACTGCATTTCTTTTTGTAGTGCACGGCACGTGCCCCATGACTCCTTGTAATTGCATGTGTTGGCAGCATAATGGCATTGGGCGGTGGCAGAAGGCGGCGGAGCATGAAGCAGAACGCCACCTTGTGTGCCTCAACAGGGACGCTGTGGTTTCTGAGGTCTCCGCCGTCTGCCCTGAGCCTCACAAAGATGTCAGGAAGTCAGCTAGGTGGAAGAAATGCAATATCACAGCACACTGCTTCTGTCTTCGTGGAGTGAGATGTCACTCACTGTATAATTTAGCCCACAGTGAGCTTTTGTACCCTCTCGAAGCACCCACAGAAACGAGACAACGTGGCATTCAAGAGCCTGATTACATCTTTTATAACCATCAGGACTATTTGCTGGTAGAGGTGAGGGACGGATGGTAGTTAATCACCACATGGCCAAGCTGTAAAGGATTTTTAGAGTCTTAGGAAAAACAGAGGAATCAATGTCAATTTAATCCAAAACACACATCCCCTTTACAATGAAAACCAGATGCAGGAAGTCTATTAGTTCCCCAATGTAGCACCACCGTCCCCACTTATGACCTATACATTTTGGATGAGGTCCTTTTGGAAACCAAAGTACGTGTCATTGTTGCTTGCTAAAGTAACTAGTTGCCTGTATCGTAAACATTTGTGCTGATATTACTTCCATCAAAAAGCACAAGATTTCATCTTTTTGTTGAAAATAGGACAGGCCTAAGTCACCACATTGTTTACTTGTATTCATGCTTCACTGCTTTGTCAAAAGACACCTTGCTCCCTGTCATCAAAGAAGTGACTTGGGG